TGTAGATACGGAGGATATCCACACCCACATCCCACACCCACTCCCACCCCCACAGCCACACCCACTCCCACACCCACACCCACACCCACACCCACACCCACACACCCACACCCACACCCACACTCACACCCACACCCACACACCCACACCCACACCCACACCCTGAAGGGGGCTGAACATGGCCAAAAAACGTTTTCCGCTGGGTGGAAATAATGTGACCGTACCCCCTTCAGGGAATTTTTCTCCTGAGGAGAGGCTAAAGCCCTCTCAGCCACCCCTTCCTTACGCCCTGGGTGTGGGTGTAGATACGGAGGATATCCACACCCACACACCCACACTCACACACCCACACACCCACACCCACACACGCACACACCCACACCCGCACACTCATACCCACACCCACAGGACAGAAAAATTTTTCGTGTGAAATTTCGCGTTCTATTGTTATTCATATTTTTTCGACTACTATCATTTTCGACGCGTCACTTTTTAACATTCGACGTATGTGATGAGTGATAGACATCGCTATGAGAATGAATTATAACACTAATTCACGTATTGGTTGAAAAAAAGGCACTAATTAGATGTGATTGTTGTTGATTCAGAAATTTTCAGTCGTAATACAAAGAAAAAGCAACGCGAAACAAGTGTTCTTTGTTCTTTTCGCCTTGAATGTTTTTTTATTTTACTTTGTATTTCATTTGTTTCGATTAATTGACTCTCAAAATATATACTCAGGATGGGCGTTAATAAAATTTGATCTTTGTCGAACACATTGAATTTCTCAAAAATTAAAAAATTACCTAAACACAAAACAGAAATATAATATTACAAAAAAAGAATTGTCAACAGCATTAATGGATTTGTGGAAATTCTTTGGCTAACCAGGAAAACTAGCTGAATGTGGTGTATTTCAATGAATGACAGGATATATGAATTGTTTCAATCGTTATAGTACATTTATTCATGAAAATAGTTGTTTTTTGTGATAAAAGCCTAGTGCTGTTGGTACTTTTCATAGACAGTATCTAGTATAAAATAAGATAATGATGTTACAACAAATCATGGACATTTTTTTGTATTTTTTTCTTGTCATGAATGTGCCATCAAGATATAAAATTAAGATTTTACTATATTTTGTTGTTCTTATAACATAAGTGATGACATGGAGGATATTTCTGGTATTTGAGGATAGCAAACAATAAACTAGGTCTAATGTAAATAATAATATTTGCTCTGATCAACGACAGGGATGTGCCCAAAGAAAAAAGTACGGAGTCCTAGGTATAGATCCCCGTACTCCCCCTCATGACAAATTTCTTACATTAAGTTTTTAAAACACACGTTCTAATACAGTTTTACTACAGCAATCCACTACTTTTCAAAACTGGAAGCGTTCGGACCTCCTTATCATCCTGTCGGCACATTCTTGATCAACGATAGTCAGGTTAGGGACTCTGGTGATCGACTCTCTGTTGCTCAAAAAAAATAGAATAAATTAGCAAAACAAGGTAGGAGAAAAGTTTCATGTATAATCGTATCACTCACCAGGAGACAAGAAATAAACAGGACAAAGCAGGACAGGACATGGTTTTGATTTTTGTCCTGTCCTGCCGCCCGCCAGAACAGAGATTGTCAACAGGACAAAACAGGACAGGACGCGATTTTGATTTTTGTCCTGCCCTGCCGCCCGCCAGGACAGGGCAGGACAGGATGAAAAATCTTGTCCTGTGTTCATCTCTGGATTCAATCCATCTCTCACAAAGACAAAGATTTAATTCTAGTTCGAGAAAAAAAGAAGGCAAACAAACTATTTGTATAATTTGTGGACATTTGTATCTGACTCTTTTCTATCACCAACGTTGTATGCATGGCAAGATCTTATGTTTTCTCTTCCATTCTAGATGTCAATGGAAATGAGCAATTTAAATCGAATCAATATTCAAAAGAACGATGGGGAGCGTATTACCTTCCGTTTTCAAGACAACAGTAGCGTTGCCGATATCGATGTTGCTCTTCGAAATACATTATCCATTTCAAATAATCAAAAATATTCCATAAGTTACAAGGATAAAGATACTGGTCAAGACATTTACATTGCGGCTAATGGAAGCATGCTACGTGAATGTCTTACAGAAAATATTAATCAATTGAATGTATTTGTTGCTCCATCAACTTCTGCTCCATGTAAGCTAGAATTGCAGAATGTTTGGATAAAAATTATTTTAGTACGATGTCTTATGATAGTCAATGTAAAATGAAATCCTTTTTTTTGATATCGATCGACGATCTCTGTTCGATCAATTAATCTTTTGGATAGTTTCATGCAGCCTCTATCTATACATAAACAATCTAGTGCGATATGTTACACAACGAGATACTTGAATACATTCTGAAGAGTAAGATTTGTTCAAGTTGATCTCAGTCTTGAGCATTTGCAAACAGAGTTTAGAATATATTGTCCAAGGTTTTTTGATTAGATTCACCGAAATATAACAATGTCTCGTTAGTTAATCATGACTCTTTTTGTTGAAATAACTCGATTCACTTAGAATATTAGCATGAAAATCACTAAGTACTTTTCTTTTCCATTTCTGACAGCGAAGAGTAAAAAAAATGAAAAATTCGATTTTATTCGTTTGTAGCTAGATTTTCTTCGCATGAAAGTGCTTCTTTTCTACAAATAAGAAACATACAGTTTCTATTTCTTGATATAAAAATTCAATTATATTTTCTCATTAATTTCCATTAGTTCAAATATTCTAACTAATCCATATTGTGAGAATAACTTCACTAATTTTATTACATTATCCTTGCTCCCTTTAGTACCATCATCATCATCATCCCATAGCAAAAGTGATGAAGGCACCGAGCTAGTACAACGATGGCCTGAATTGATGAAAATTATTGATCGTCGAATTCATCGTTGGACAAGTCGTTCAGGTGAGTAAGATACAAGAGAAAATGCTATCGATTTGAACAACAGAAAAGGTCGCTGCAGAAGCAAGTGAAGGTGACAGTTGTGGTTATTATAATGAGACATTTGCATTACTCATTAAAAACAGAAGGATACATAAACAAAACGAAAAGAAATAATAGTCTAGATATGGAGAATAATCTCTAAAACATCGATCGATACTGATCGCAGGCTGCTAGCATTATTTTGTCATTGTTTCGTAAGAACTTTCATGAACCACTGAATATTCGCTATTTTACTACTATATTCAAACTAAACAAGCTGAGTCGTGAATTACTATTGACGTTGGATTTTATCAATAGGTTTTTCACTTGAAACCTGCCTAGAATGCTTCCATAGAGCACAGGACAATTCCAGTTTTAGCCCCAATATTCGGATAGTTTTCACTTTTATTGAAAAATTTGATTTGAATTCTCATTCGACTCAAAATTCAGAGTAAACTTTAACAATTACGTACACCTCTGGGCAAAAGTCTTTCCTCTCTCTTTTTCCTGTCCAATATGTCATTGAAAACAAAAAAAAATTAAATATCCTCGTCATATTTTGACCAAATGGGCTGATATTTTTTTACCAGTGATAGAGAGATGTTCATAGCTCATATTCATAAGAGAAACATTATGAAAAAGTGTGTTGAACTATTATATTTGCCTTGAACAAAGTCCAGTAAGCTTACACGAATCATGAAAACGCAAGATCCTAAATGATTACTGGACTTTGTTCAATGCAAATATAATAGTTCAACACAGTTTTTCATAATGTTTCTCTTATGAATATGAGCTATGAACATCTCTCTATCACTGGTAAAAAATATCAGCCCATTTGGTCAAAATATGGCGAGGATATTTAAATTTTTTTGTTTTCAATGACATATTGGACAAGAAAAAGATGGGGGAAAGACTTTTGCCCAGGAGTGTATTTCTTCTCAAATGAACAAAATGTACTTTTCTTTTGTGAAAACCTCATTTTTTAAAGTTCTTTTTTCGGATGAAGAGGGATTGATGTGAAAAAACGATTCGCAGAGTATAGTCTTTGGCTTTATAGTTCTAACACGCATACTATTGTACACGTGTTTATCTCGTTGAAATTAGTCTTTTGAAGTTTTCTTTCTAGATAACACAGTGGATAAAAATATTAATAACAGCTATGAATGCTTGCTGGAGACAAAGTCCGTTTGTTCGTGTTGGTTTTCTGAGCTAGCAGACAAAGTATGGAGTTGGATCACCAACAAAAAGCCAACATATATCTCGATTCGACATGAAACTGACTAAACAATATGGTTGAGTATTGTTTGTTGTTGTGTTCGTAGTGGTAATGCTTATACGATGTTCTTTGCTTGAAATTTGCTTGCTTGCTTTTGTCATTTCGTAATTCTCGAATTATATTTCGTTTTTTTCTATACTGTTAAGTATCTTGCTGCTCCTCATTCTGTAACGATGGCTAATCTTACTAATAAAATTCGCGTATCATTTGACGCAGATTATTTCTCGTGAAAGAAAAACCTCCTTTTAATGAATTCGATGTAGATCTTATTCAGTCAAACATATCAACTGATATTTAAAAGAAAGATAACATTCTGCATGTGTTGACTCAGAATAGATTTAATTGTGAACCCTAAATCGAAATACGGTTGAGTACGTCATTAGCGAAAACAACATAATTGCAACTACTATAGGAATATACTGCAGTTTTCATGTTTCTTCGACGATTTTATTTTTGACCATGAACATACTGACTGTTCTGCTTATCTTTACACTCGAGAAGAAATGCTATCGACTTTCCTCGTTTTTTGGAAATAATAGAAGCAAAACCTATATTATGTTGATGGAAAATTTCAATAGATTCGACTTCTAAGATGTTTCTTAAGTGCATGGTTCGTAATCAACGACGATGGACCGTATTCAAGCGCAAATTGCTAAAATACTTCTACTGTTGTGAGGCGTTCTTTTATCAATAACAAGAATCACTCGCTTTTCTCGTTCAGAATTTCATTTTCTAGAAGAAAAACAAATCGATACATTGTACCATTTTTATCTCATGTATATTCATGAAAACAGTTTTCAGAAAATATGCCAAACTATATAGTTATTCAATAGCTTGACGCTTTTTTGCCGTGAAAACCTTATTCATGCACAATCTTCGCTTTTGTAATACTTTAATCTCCATTATTCTTGGTCTTTTAGTCATCTTCATACTACTTCTCGACCTGGCGAATCTGTACGTTTTCATCTTTCTTTTTTCTCCAATTCGAACCATATTTATTCATTTTAATCTGATTTTAGATTTATTAGCTTTGGTTTCAGTATATGGTCAGGGAAGATTGTAGCTAGCAGCAGTCCGACCATCTTCACCAACGTCACCTCCATTGAAATTCTACTCAAAGAATTAATCAATTTGATGACCAACAGCGTCTCATGGAGAAATTCTACCTCATGAACTCAATCTTTTTCTTTATTATATCGTTTTCAGTGTTTCTTTTGTCTTCGTACCATATTTCTCGTCTTTTCAAGTCAATCATGCTGTGATCTATGTTTTATTCGATGTTATCAAATACATGTCAGATGATCTTCTTCTTACTTTTATTCGATATATTATAATTAGTTTGATCTTGTTTTTCAACCAATTATATCGCCGCCGAGCTATTATCTTATTCACAAGTCACAATGCATCCATTTGAAACGAACAATATATCGATTTCCTACCTCTTTTGAGTTCAGTGTTGATATTTTTTCTCTCTCTGAACAAGCTGTATTTCGCTTTGGCAATCAATTATTATCTGATAATAAGATTGATTTTCCTCAAAATAACTCATTCGGATGCTATAAAACTCTTACGTACATTAACTACAAGATGTCACAAAACCATAACGCTCCTCCCTACAACATTGAGTTTCAATGATATCACAAAGTACTTTATATCAAATAAATGCTCATCAAAAACTGGATCTATGAGTGTAATTAGAGCAATTATTGCCTATGAAATTATTGAAATGCCTTGAATTACATGTCAAAAGGCGATTGAAAAGTCACCATAAAAGACACAATATAATAGCAATTGTTAGTAAGAAGGTCTTTAGTCATAGCTGTTCATCAATCTACAACACATAGAACTGCTTGCTCTGTACCACTCATAATATATTCGAAGAAATTATAATACAAAAGTTAAAAGTCAAAATGAAACAGTGATTGGTGCAATACTACAGAGACAGATGCTGTAAATATCAGCCTACTTTACTGAAAAAAACATAAGAAAAGACTACTACTTGAAAGGCGTCTAAACTTATTAGACATCCTTCAGTCAATGAGCAGAAACCCAAAAGAGCATTTCATGCCAGCATATTAACATTCCAGGTAGTTTAGGAAACGAGGTTTGTTTTTTTACTTAAACTAGAATATATTGATCAAGACTACTGTTTGTCATATCTAAGTACTATTTTGAAGCAGAAAATATCAACAAGTTGCCGCTATGAACAAGCTGGAAACATTATTATATCGGCTGAGGCATAATGATTGCACCTTATATTTTTTTGCAAATATATCAGCAAAGATCAAGCGTTTACCAAGTTCGACCGTTGAGGACTCCGTAAACGATCGTATTTTAAGAGTGTGCGATTCGATACGAAGATTTCTGCTATTTATTAAACCCATCTGAGCATCTGTACCAACATCGCATATCACGATAATCGCTTCGATTTAGCCAGTTTTAATAAAACTGGTGAATAAATGGTGATTTTTCTGCCTCAATCCCATAGCCAGGTGGAATAAGCATGGTTGTACACAGAGAAATACGACTAAATACATGTGCCAGTATTACGATCGTAAATCTTTTGTTACGTCTGAAAGTTTCGCTTCTTTTTCTCCCTTTTTTGTCCTGGTTATGGATAAAGGGAACACGTCCATTGAAGCACTCAACACGTTCACTTTGCGTTGAGGTGAATATTTTTTGTGTTGCCGTTCTCGAAATTATCATGTCACAAGATGATAATTTTTAATGCATATATTGAGAGAACAAAAAAGCTAGATGGCACACACAGGCTAAGCTTGGGCTATGAGCCACGTCCCAAACTGTACTCATCGTATATGAGCTTATAAAACTTCCAAACTAGTCGAAAAGACAAATTTCGAGAACAAAAACCTGTGTCCATATTGTACAGAGTAGAACAATGAGTTAATTTCATGTTTAGTTATATTCCCTACATGTCGATTATTAGACAACAAACCAGGTTTTATGAATTACGAACAAACTGAACTTTATAAGGAAGTTTCGAAAAAAATGGATTGTATAGGAACGTAGAACTTTGTAATAATCTTTGAACGAAAATTATACGACTTTCCGATCTAGAGATCATCGTCACACAAAATAGGTTTTTGATTTCTGTATTGGGAAAGTAAAAGAACTTGGAAATGATTACTGCATAGACCTTCGTGCCATAATTCATATTGAAAAGTGTACACGAGTAAAAAGATAAAAATATTATTGTCATTAATAGATATCAGAAAGAAAATATTTCATTATGTCAATATTATCAAAAGACTTTTGCTAATTATTTAAATTTACTTCATCTTATAACGATTATTCATTTAAAATAAAAACTGATTGGTATTGTAATCAATGTAAAGAAATATAAATATTTTTCTAGTTTTGTTTCACAGATTTGTTCATTACAACCAAATCTTAAAGTTCATTTTCGCTCACATATTCGAATTGAACCTTATATAAACATTGTGATTATTATTGCACGTATCATTCATCGATTAACGATCATTCAATGAAGAAATTATCCAAATAAGTTACACACAACAATTGAATCTGGGTATGAAGAAAAAGAAGAAATTCTCCGTTTCAAAAAAATATTGAACTATAAAAGCAAATAATATAAATGCAATACAACATATTCATCAAAAAATGATTTGAAATTAAGAAAATTTTAAATTAATCATTATGTAATAAAAAAATAAAGAGAGAGAGAGAGAGATAGGATTGACAATGATACAACTTAATTTATTTATTTCTTTTTCTCTATAAATAATTACATAAAATAAAAGAAATAAGAAAAAAAAACGGGTTTTTGTTTCTCTATTGAGTATTATTTGGCGGATGTATCAAAGCTGATAATTCTTCATCATGTTTTGATCTAAATGAACGATAAATAGCTAGAATAAGAAACGTTGCAAATAAAACTATAAATAACATTGAACATAGCATAATCCATGTTGATTGTAATAGACTACCAGCATATAATGGACCAACAATTGTTGCTACGTTTATAACAAAACGTTGAATACCTTGACCAATACCTTGTTCATCTTGATTAGTTTGTTGTGTAAATAAACTTGTACTTGTAACAACAATAAGTGGTAATGCAAGAATATCCAATGCCACAAATAAAAGAAAAATAGGTAAATATTTTTGTGTACCTGCTTGTGAAAAAGGTAAAATTATAACAGCAATAAGACAAGCTAAACTAAGAAGAATATAACCAAATAAAAGTATTGATTGATCCTGATATTTTTTTGTTATATAATGTAATACAACATAAACAAGCGTTATTTCAATACCAGCTACTGCAAATAATATTGATACTTGTAATTCATGCCAATTAAATTGTTGATTTGTAAATGGTGTTAATGTTGTTTCAAGTGCTGTTTGATTAAAATATGCAATAAATGATGTTATTAGAAGAACCTAAAAATACGATCAATGAATTATATTGTTTCTTTTTGTCAAATACTATCTAAAAGGAGCGTTGAATAAAGACGTGCATTTAAGTCAACTAAATATTTCACTAATAAATCATATTTAATACAAAAAGTTCTTTGAATATCAGTTCGTACAATAAATATTAAAGACTTTTATTAATATGACTCCAATGTAGGTTTCTAGTGTTGAAATATAAAGGTAAGACGTTGAATTTCTTCCCTTGTAGTGTCATAGACAATGACAGATGTTGATATCTGATCAAAGACTGCACATTAAGAGCATCTCATTATAATGTATTAACTATTTTCTTATTGTATATTTGAAAGACTAAGTAAAAGGATGGTGAAGACATATGCCCCAAAACAGATAGAATAAAACAGTCTCTCTAGGATTAGCAACAGTAGTGACATCGAATTTCACATTTTTAAAATATTTTTCTCAGAATATTATTTTCATTTTCGATGATATAGAGTCACTTAAAAATTTGAAATTAAATTATGACAAAATATTATTGAGATTTTAGAATAGAAGAAAAAAAAAACAAAATCATTTTTAATAAATATTCTTTATTACATACTATTATCACAGGTTGTTTGCATATTGTAAAAACACGTTTCAATGCTTGTCTAAATGAATAATCTTTTAATGGGTTTGCTAAGACTTTATGATCACCCTAAAACATATAAAAATTATTTCATTTTCTATTCAATATAAACTTACTGATGATAAAGGTAAATCAAAAAAGAAAAAAAGAGTTAGAATTGCTAGTATTAACCATAAAATTGCCATGAGTAAACCAGGTGAATTATACATGGTTACACGAATACCAAATAATACAAAATTCATTTGTTTTAATAATATTGTAAAACATGGACCCAATAACAGACCTATTTGACGACAGCCTATAGACAAAAAAAAAAAGTTAATAAATTTTCTTTTCTTGTTTTTCCAATTTTCTTACCAAGTATTTTAGATAAAAGTTGTGTACGATTTTTTGGTGTTGATCGTCTTGATATTTCTGCTAATAATGGTGGCTAAAAAAAACAGAAACTATAAAAGGTAATATCATCATGAAACATGCCAGTAATTCGAAATTTGAGCAAAAATGGTTTTTTTTATTATGGTTGAATAAAGAACGTCGAGTGATCTATATCGAAACTTAAGTTCAAAAAAGTTGAAAAATTCTATAAAAATTGAAAAATAGCAAATCAGTAGTCTAAATATTAATCGAAGTATTTTTTTTTTGATTGAATTCATCACATAGGAAAAAAATATGGTTTCATGGTTGAGAAAAGTGAGTTTTTCCATATAATATCAAATCAGTAAAAATGCAGATTTGTATTTTAATATTTCGATCAACAGAACTTTAGTCGAATATCATATTCATAATCATCAGAAAACTTTGCATTCAATAGTATATCGAAATTTGATAAAAGTTAATTTTTTAGTATTGAGTTAAGCATATTGATGTTTTTCGTGTATTTCAATTTTTGTAGGCTTTACTAATTTTTTTAAAACTTAATTTTCGTTACAAAAAGTACTGTTCGATTACGTCAAAAACTACATTTTTATAGATAACTCGCCGAGTTCT